AGAGACAGTTATTGACCAGCTATTTCTTCAGTTATCGTCTAAGGAGGCTATAAATACCCCCCTATGGCCATCATTGACAGGGGCTGAGCATTTTCCAGAGAGATTAGAGCAGAGAGCCTTGAGTTTTGGTGAATTAGAGCAAGAGAGAGAGTCTTCCTTCTTCACAAACATCCTCAAGAAGCTTCTAGCGAGTCCTAGAGATCTAAGCTCAGACTTGATCTTTGGAAGAGTGAACATCTTACATCGATAAGATATTCGCTTCAAATTCTTACTTCGATAAACGAAGGAAGAATCATTAAACCCCTCACGGTTCAATCAGAATCTGTGATTTGGTGGTCCACGAGTCAAAGCGCTCCCGGCACAGGCAAAGATCCCACGCAAGCAGCGATCCAAACAACGGTCCTGCGTTTGTTTCTCAAGAGTTGTAATTTTCCTTTTGTTGTGTAAAAGAAGTCTTATAAAAAGACTATTTCTTTTGAATTTATTGTAATCGACCGAAGATATAATGAATTCCACAACGAAACCAACTTTTGACGCAAACAAGCTGGCGACCACAGTGGGAGCCAACGGTCTCGCTGCCGAGACCGTCGTGTCGCAGCCGATCAAGATTCCAGTTGAATCTATGGTCGAATACGAATTCGACCAGATCAAGTTTGAGGAATATCTCTCATCATCCTCTTCAAGATCTTCATTATCTCGCAAGTACAAGAGGATCTCACAATTGAGGAAGAGTTGCATGCCAAAGAAGGCACAAAATGAAGACTCTCGCTTGATTGTTGCTGAGAATTTCACTCGCAATACTTCTGCTCACAATGGCTCTTATCTAGTTAAAGAGTCATCGAATCAAAGCCCGCCGGCATTAACGAAAAGAGCTCGTCGGAGACAACGTCAACGCCGTGCTCGCCAAATGGCTAAAGCCTTGGAACAAACCGACGGGGTTCGTTACCACGCGGACCTAGAGTCGAGGAGACATCGAGTGGTTCAGTTGTCTCAACAACCAATCACTCGTATCTCTGCTAAAACAACGACGGATGAATGGACTATTGTCAAAAAGACTCGTTCGACCCTCAAAGAACGTATACAAAAACGTCGTGCAAAAGCTGCTAATGCCCATGCTCTCTCACAACAAAGACGAGAAAAGAGAAAGGAAATGGTGACCAAAGAATCACCAAAACTTCGTCAAGTTTGGATTCCAAAGTCTGGACTTATGCAAAATCAGCATTCGGAGCCCGTTAAGACTCCATACCCACAAGGGGGTGGTTCTAAACGTGCGACTCCCGACATAACCTTGGATCGCTTAAAGACAAAAATAAATTGTCCTGAGAATGCCAACAAGGTTTTATACTCCCAGAAGAAGACGCATTCACCAAATGATATCGTCATACCTGGGAGATCATACCAACAGACGATACGATTTTTTGGCAATCATACCAATGAATCGTATTATCAAATTGAGGTTGTGAATAATTTTCGAAAGAGAGTTATTCGAGAGATAAACTCTCGTTGTTCCTGTGCACGACTCGTCAAAACAGCATTATCAGAATGTGACTGTTTCAAACGAGAAATCATCCCACGAAAAGTCTCTGCATTATCAAAGCCTAAGCTGAGAAATTTCCGCAAAAGAAAATCAGCTGCCCAAAATGATGAATTCCCTGAAGTCACCATCAACGTAGCTGATAGAAGAAAGTCTAAACAGCATTCAAATGACCTGTCCAAAATGATGAATTCCCTGAAGTCACCATCAACGTGGCTGATAGAAGAAAGTCTAAACAGCATTCAAGTGACTCAAATCCCGACTTTTCCCCGAAAGGAAAAGTCAATCCAAGAATTGCTCAAAGGATGTCTCGACTCCAATTAGGAGCTATCAGACGCAGAGACTACAAGAGAATGCAAGAAGGAATGTCCTCGGAGGATGAATTCTCGGACACTTATTCTGCAATCGCTTCTGATGATACAATGTCTAGCACAGGACAAATCAGAGAAGTATTCACAATCACTGCTGATCAGTTCACTCAAATACTTCAGGAAGCTCTAGCCAAACAACGTGAAGAAATTAGAGCTGAAGTGAAGACAGAAATGAAGTTGGCTATCCAACAAATGAGAGAACTGTTAACTCAACAGCCTCAACCTCCTGAGTCCAATCAGCGACTTGAATCCAGCCACCACACTCGGAATGTTGTAGATGACAGTGATCCAGAGGTGGATGAAGTCATTATGGCTGATACACCTCCCAATAGCAATAACGCTGGGGGTGGTTTAACACACCCTCCCAATAATGATATTGGGGGTGGTTCAATAGCACCTCTCACTGGGGGTGGTTCAATTATCTTTACTCGACATCATTCAGAAATAAATGAAGACGATGACGGGAAAATGCAAAAACTTGAAGACAAAATCAATGCTTTGATGACGGCTCAAGAAGTTAAGAAGACGGGTATTCCATGTCCTTATCCGAGGGAATGGGATTCAATACCATACCCGACCAAATTCAATCTGATTAACTTCACACCGTTTGAAGGGAAGAGTTCGCCGATTCAACACTTGATTTATTTCAAGTCTCATTTGGGCATAATCTCTGGAAACGAGGCCTTAATGATCCGGTCATTCGTTGGCACCCTTCGTGGGCCCGCCTTCGATTGGTACCGACGGCTCAAGCCAGGGAGCATCAATTGCTGGGATGACATGGAAAGTATGTTCCTCAGCAACTTCTTCGATGATGACACCGAAGTGTCAATCGGAACTCTTTTGGATGTGATGACACCGAAGTGTCAATCGGAATCCTTTTGGATGAGAAGCAAAAAGACGGAGAGTCAGTCGACGATTTTGTCAAGCGCTTCCGTGGCAAAGCAATGAATTGCAGAGATCCTATTACAGAGGAGTTCATCCTGCAAACATGCCACAATAACCTCTCCATCGATGTCCTGGAAGCTCTGGGGGTTGTGCCATCCACAACTTGGAAGGAGTTAAAATCTCGGGGTGAACAAGCTGAGCACTTTCTTAAAAGAAAGAAAGTTGAGAGAGGCCAACCGACGACATCTGCAATCACTGGGAACCCGACTCCTGATCCGAGGTTTCAAAAGGAGTATTCTTTCGAAGATGATGAAGCTCCAGCCATCTTGGAATACCTCCTCGCCAATGACAAAATCGAGCTACCACCTATTAAAGATCAGGATGGAGCTAAGAGGACTACGGATCCAAACTACTGTGCGTACCACAGAAGGGTTCTTCATCCCACCGAGATTTGCTTTGGACTCAAAAACAAGATCCAAGCCCTAATTGACTCCGGCGTCATAACGACGAAAGAAGTCAAGTAAAGACGACGGATGGTGCTAAAATGATTATGGATCCAAATTACTGTGCGTACCACAGAAGGGTTCTTCATCCCACCGAGATTTGCTTTGGACTTAAAAACAGGATCCAAGCCCTAATTGACTCCGGCGTCATAACGACGAAAGAAGTCGATTAAAGACGACCATACTCCATCGGATACATGAGTATAAACTGTTTTCCCCTACTCCATCGGATACATGAGTATAAACTGTTTTCCCCTACTCCATCGGATACACGAGTATAAACTGTTTTCCCCAACTCCAGTGGGTGCACGAGTATAAACTGTTTCCCCACACTCCAAAGAGTATATGAGTATAAACTGCTTCTCGATTATCCAATTGAGTACAATGTTAAACCCGGTTTCGTAAAGAAAGCTGGGGGTGGATGATTTATATAACGGGAAGTTCCTGGAGAATCCTATATTCTTAAGGATAACCCGAACATGCGACTGAAGATAACGTACTCCTCGTTACACCCAATTTTGCAAAGAAAATTGGGGGTGGATAATTCATGTAACGGGAAGTTCCCGGAAGAATGTTAAATGTAATATTCTTAGGGATAACCCCGGTCATTATGAACAAAGTGATAAACACTAAACTCCTACTATGACTTCCGAATACTCTTTTGCTGAGATGAGATTCGATCACCTCTTTAGATCAATCTTCCCTCACAAAATTCCCATTTTGGTCAAACCTTTAAACAGTTAGGACCAAAGCCAGAATCCCCTCTTGATTCCTTCCATGAACAAGAGGTCCACCTTCGATTTGCGCAATCAAACCTATAAAAGTTAGGATTGCCTCCAATCTTATTCAAATTCTCTGAATAGAAATCCCACTTCAAATTTCCTTTGTACCAGGAGATAGAATATAAAATTCTTCCTCTCCGATTCTGGGTTCATCTCTACCAACAAACAAGAGACCAGGAGATAGAATATAAAATTCTTCCTCTCCATCATCGGGTTCATCTCTACCAACAAACAAGAGACCAGGAGGTAGAATATAAAATTCTTCCTCTCCGATTCTGGGTTCATCTCTACCAACAAAAAAAAAGACCAGGAGATAGAATATAAAATTCTTCCTCTCCGATTTCGGGTTCATCTCTACCAACAAAAAAGAGACCAGAATACTCCAATAGGTACACGAGTCTAAACTGTTTTCCTACCCTCAACAGGAAGTTTCTGGAGAACATTACTCAGAATATTCTTAAGAATAATCCAATAAGTACACGAGTCTAAACTGTTTCCTTACTCTCAATAGGAAGTTTCTGGAGAATATTACTCAAAATATTCTTAAGAATAACCTGATAACCTCCCAACGGGTATATGAGGTTAAACTGTCTCCCGAACACTCCAATAGAGTATATGAGTATAAACTATTTCTTTATTCTTCGACGGCAGTTCAAATTCAAGACTTCGACAACGGCCACGCGATAAACGCAGCACCGGAGGAATCTTAGCTATTCTACAAAGCACTGAATAAGCTAAAAGATAAAGAAGTCAAGAATTGAAGCTATTCGCAGACCATTCTACGCAACTTCCCCAACAAAGCACTGGAGAAATTGCAAGGAAAGCTTATCATATCCAAAGTGTCCCAGACCCCTCTCTAAGAAATGATGAGTCTGAGATACTTTGGAGGGGGTATCTGTAGGCGTCAAAAAATGCTTACAGACGTTCAAACACCACTCAAGATAACATAGAAGAACATTATACACATCATCAAGCAACTACATGGCAGCGCGGCAGGACATGGTGCCGCGGCTGAGGCTATTGGGCCACGAGCCCTGCCGGCGTCTACTGCAGCCGGACCCTTAATCCTCCTCTTCTCTCTCTCTCTCCTCTTCTCTTTCTCTATCCCCTGCTCCTTCCCCCAAAAACCTCCCTCGATTCTTTGAAGTTGTCCATGTTGCTGTGGAAGCTTTATCGTAGCTTTGCTTGCTTTCGCAACAACAGTGGCCAATCTCAAAGAACCAGCAACGTGCCCAAGTCTCACCCAATTTGTCAGGGGAGGCCTCACCGTACAACCAAGTGCTGGCTTCTTGATGCCGGTGAGTTCATAATACCACAACTGCACATTAGAGATATAAAAACTTAACAAACACCTTCATCCGTAACAATTAATAAAGTAACCCTAACAATAAAAACGTAACCTTAACAACCAAACCGTAATATTAACAACCAAACCGTAACCTTGACAACGAAACTGTAACATTAACAACTAAACCCTAACCTTCACAATCAGTAAAAAACATGATTACTTACACAAACTAGAGGGGTACACCCTTGCAGATATAATGTCGTCTTCCCTGGCTCAGGACCCTTCAGTGCCCTCTCTATCGCGTCAGATGTCTCACTGAATATATAGGTCCCCCAAGCAGTGTTGTTGACCTGTTCGATGCTGTCGACGTACTTGAATAAATGCCTAGGAACGCCGGAAACACTGCTTGGACACCAAATCATGCTCAGCTGATAGAGGATCTGTAGCAGGACAAAGTCCTTCACATCTCGGCGATCAGAAGATAGTACCAGCTTCAAGAGCAGGTCCTCCACATTGCGTCTGGTGGGGCCTCCTTTGGGGGGAGCTATACTGCTGGAACCCCCCGTCTCGGGTTTGTCAAAGAACCTGGACCAAATCCTATTTTTCCTGTCCCGATTGTGGTCAACATGAAGCCCCTCATTGGAGAACCATGTATGCTCCATTACCCACTCAAGGTTGAATGAGCATGGGATCTCTTCTCCATCATTCCTATCGGTGAAGACGAATTTTTTGCTCTTCTTGTCCCACTGACTCAAAATGTGCTCAAAGGTGGGAAGATCGACGCCAGGTGGGCCAAATTGGACGTAGTGTCTGAATACACTATCTTCGTAGGCCGCAAAATGCCTTGGCCCCATACGCGTCACCAAATTCTGCATGAAGTCGTGATAGGCACCGAAGCTGGCGGGGGGCCGCAACGTAATAGCTGGCTTTGCCCTTTTTCTACAAAACAAAAACACAAGACGAGAGCATTTTTGAGTATAATCAGTAAACATAACAGCTATGCTGTAAACTTTGCGGGTAAACCAACAACCTTAACAGCAACCACATAACCTTAACAACAAAAACCTAACCTTAACAACCAAAGCCTAACCTCAACAACTAAACAACAACCTTAACAATAAAGGCAGTAACCAACAACCTTAACAACAACCCCACAACCTTATCAACCAAAACCTAACCTTAACAACCAAAGCCTAACCTCTACAAATAAACAACAACCTCAGCAATAAAAGCATAGACCTTGCATGTTAACAGTAACCTCAACAGCTAACAGACACCGTAATTTTGGACCTTCCCACCAGACTAAGAGCATTATCAATCAAACCGTAACCTTAACAACATAAAACTTGCGGTAAAAATTACATTTTGGGTGCTGCCACGTGCTGCTCTTTTTCTCCTCTCTGTAGACCAAGAAGCGCTCTAGTGGCATCGTTGGACGCGCCGGTGGTGCCGGTGCTGCCCTCTAGACCTTCGCGGGGGCCTACACTTCTATTTCCGGCTTCTGTGATGAGAATGGCTGGTTGCGATGTCCTCTAGAACATCAGCAATCGCAGTTCGAGCTTCGGATTCAGTCCGCACTGCAGTTGTATGGGCTCTTTCTGAGATTTCGAACCGCTGGGTGTAATCACTTTCGCTGTGGTCGGCATTGAGGTTGGCTTTGGGGGTTGAATCGCCGGCCATTTTGATCCCTTTGCTTTGATTCGGTTTGCGTTGGGGTCGGTTGATTTAGTGCTAGGGTTTTGAATTGGGTTTCTGGAGTCGGTTTGCTTGCAGAAGAGAGAGATGACAGGGTACGGACGAGGAGGTAACTCATAACGGGGAATTTTAAACATAAGGGTATTTTGGGCATTTCGAGCGGGGTTTAAACGGCGTTACGCCTGGGGATTCGTTTTGGGGGCTGGAAGAAAATCGGGGGCGGTTTTGGGGGTAAAAGGAACGTTGAAAAGGACTTGGGGGGGCAGAGCATGTTTTGGGCGGTTTTGGGGGCTGGAAGCAATTTTCCCTTTTTTTTATTATGAATTGTTTTAATTTGATTAGGGTTCTTAAGTGAATATAGGATTAGGTATCAATGTATCAATTTTTGATAGGATAGATGGACACTTGATAACTTTTTGACACGTGGCCTGTTTTTGAGCTTTTAGAAGTAGCTCACCAATTTATATATAAATGAGGGATATAATTATGAGATATTTAATCATGGATAGTACTAATTCGATTAGGATTACTAAATATTTAATTATTAAAAAATTTCTTACTATGAATAGTTTTAATTTGATGAGAATTCTTAATTATGTGAAGATAGATTATATGTCCACATGGTTGTTTTTAATATGACATGTGTCGTGTATTTAGATGACATGTTTTTTTTTCTTTCTTTTTTTTTTGCATTTAGAAGAACCACCAATTTCTAATTGTATATAAAGGAGGGATAAGCAATCTACATTATGGTGTCTTTTTAACTTTAGATCATGTTGCAAATGAAATGCAAACGATACTAACGAAAAATAAGTACAAGCACAAAACACTAATTTTAATATGGTTTGACAAATTGTTTATGTCCAATTGGGCACAAATCTTTAGTTCTTTCTTACAATCAAAGAGAGAGTACAAGTACAATAGAGCAAGAATAAAAGAACAATGAATAGAAGGATAATACCCAAAATAATTTCTTTACAACACTGACTCATTCTGTCGTGAACTACCGAACATTAGATTTTCTCACAACTCCTATGTCGAATACAAAATTGCACAGTCGCTCTACAACTCTCACTCTCTCTTCAATTTCTTGCACTATGTAAATCTCATAGCAACCCTCACTATTTTATGGCCTCCTGCTTCTTTGTCTCCAAGAAATGAATGAATCTTCATTGTGTGATTAATTGACTTGTCTAACAAGTAAATCCCTTAATTTACTCATTGCCATAATTATTCTAAATGGAGAGCAAGTAAAATCTTAAATCAATTTTAAGCTTATATTGCCATATGTATAGACTAACTAATAAGGCATGTATTTAATTACCAAGGGGTGTAACAAAAAGTACCACTCGAACAAAACTATTTACAGGTTATTAATCGGGTGAAATTTCTACTTCCGACTGTTAGACCCTAATGTCATTAGAAAAGAACCCTAGAGGTGGGTGAATAGGGTCTTATACTAATCTAATCCGATTTTATGCTAATTAAAACTAATTAACAAATATATCCTAGCAAGTATGATATGCTAGATTTTATGCTAATTAAAACTAATTAACAAATATATCCTAGCAAGTATGATATGCTACAAGATATGTGCAAGGATATACAATATAAACAAGGGTAAACAAAATGATCATGCAACAATGGCGATATAACAATATGCAAGAATAAATGCACCAATGCCAAACCCAAACATAAGGAAATGATCACGGAGTTCAAAACTTCCGTCCTACGTCTCCGCTCCCCACTCCCGGGGAGAATCCACTACACAACCCGGTTTGGAAGCCGGAACTTCTCTACACACTCGGTTTTCTAGCTAACCGAAAACTCTACACACTCGGTTATCATGTCAACCGAAAACTCTCACAAATCCTCACAAAGTACATATACAAACTACAACCTCAAGTGTTGGTCCTCATGTATCGACTCCCTCAAGTGCTCGGAATTATTACCTCTCACTAGGCCACCGACGCCACTCCTCTCGGTATCGACTCCGTCCTCACCACACACTCCTCTCGGTGTACAAGTGTATTATAAAGTGAACTTCATAATTAGGCACATAACAAATGATTGTTATCTAAACAAGGTGAAAACTCAATTAGGCTCAACTCAATGTTACTATCTCTCATAACCCCAAATTTATTATGAATGCAAATACAATAAGCTCAAGTGGATGTGTGTAACGAAGAGATTAATCAAATCTAAACTCAATATAAAACTAGCTTTAATAAGATGATAACCAAACAAATAAATATAAAATCTAAACTCAATATAAAACTAGCTTTAATAAGATGATAACCAAACAAATAAATATAAAGCTAGAAAAGAGTTTAGAAAACTTCTCAATAGATGACAAGAGATGGAGGAAGAATAGTTGATTGCTCAAACTCCAATAGATGATTTTCTCAAGCTCTTGTGGAATTGAATTCACAAACTCAAACCCTCAATTGCTTAAAAGCTTTTTAAATAACCACAAAATAAAACTTAAACCCTTGTTAAAACTTTGTTAAAATATTTTTTTAAGTTGTTTTAGAAGTATGAGGGCATGGGGTATTTATAGGCTCATGAAACAACCCCAAAAACCAAGAGAAAATAAGTAAAAATACAAAAACCATCAAATCTGAAAAACTAGCCATTATAGGCTTAAAATCTCTGTTAAGTCGACTTATAGAGAGCCGTTGGAACAGTAACGGTAGTTCGGGAATTTTGCGTATCTAGTTTTTTAAAATCAATCACAAATAGTAAATCAACTCTAAAAATTATGAAATTTTGAGGTATGTTTCTAAACACGTATATAAATGGGTTAAAAAAAGAATTTCTGAAATATCACTTCTCATTTGTGAGAAATAAATATTTGAACACAGATATTTTAGATCCTAAAAACTGCTAAAACACCCGATTTTGTAAAATTAATTTGACATAGTAAATAAACTCCAAAATTCATGAAATTTTTAGGGAAGCTTCTAAACATATATATAAACATGTTAGAGAAAGAATTTGTTAATTATAAATTCCCATTTGAGAGAAATAATTTATTTTATAAACTGGTTAAAAATACATAAATGTGCAACATTTCATAAGTCAACTTATAAATGGTATAAATCGACTTGCTATAAGGCGACTTGCTTTGCTTGATAAGTCGACTTAGTAGAGGCAAAATGCACTTTATAGAGGAGTTCGTAAGTCGACTTGATAGAGTTTATAAGTCGACTTAAAAACGTGCACAGGCACTGTTCATGCTGAAAATCTGATTTTAAAAATAGCAAATAAATTACAAAAACAATAGAATATGAAACATATAAAAGTGTATATGAAGATATATATTGTTTCATATCTAAATAGCTAAATCAAAAACATATATGTATATATATATAACTATATATATATATATATAATCAAAAACCAAAACGTGTATGTGTGTATAAAATTGAGCTTAAAGTACTAACACACATAATATAAACTCCTAAACTAAATATACCCAAGCTTGATCTTGATCTTTAATATGCTCTTCTTGATACACTTGCGGATGAAGCTTGATCTTGGATCTTTAACTTGAATTGCATTTGCTTCACTCCACTATTCCGCCAACCTCCATTGAATATGATTGTAAAAGCGCAATTACATCCATCTTCCAACTTGTTGTTTGTCTATAATAAATAAATAAACATAAATACTAGACAAATAACATTAGTGGTAAATTATTTATTAAACATCATCAAAACAAAGAGACCAACACCGACTAACAACAACCCAAAGGAAATCTCCATCTAGGCTTGTCCATCCGGCCCGAAAATCCGGGCCGGGCCAGGCAAAACCAGAGCCCGGACCCAGGCCCGGTTGCCCCGATTCAGGCCCGGCTCCGGGCCGGGCCGAGTTTTATTTGTTTTTTAAATTTTTATACTTTTTTATAATTTTTTTAAGAATATAAAGCAAAAAATAAACACAATTTTGATAAAAAGTTATATTCTTAATCAATTGTAATTATGTAATTTATAAATATAAAAAGTTATAGAAATTAAAATGATATAAAATAATTATAGAATTTATAGAAACAAACAAAATTAAAAATAATTATATAATTCAAAGAGCCCCAAGACCCAAGGCCCAATCAAAGACATATAAATATATATGTTGTGGCTAGGATTTGAACCACTAACCTCCTCTCCAAACTCTTAAATTTTACCACTAGAATAAGTAGCCCAAACTATTCATGTAATTCAATATATGTATATATATATATATACACACACACATATAAATATATTATACATAAACAAATTGTATTATACATAAAAATATATGATAAATAATATTATATATATATATATATATATAATAATATAATATATATATATATATATATAAATATATATATATATATATATATATATAATAATATATATATATATAATATATATATATATATTATGAGTAAAAATTGGTAAATGCTTGGTAAGCACAAACATAGCGCCATCTCTCTCTCTCTCTCTCTCTCTCTCGTCTCTCTCTTTATATGTATATATATGAGAAAAAATGGGTATGAGCTTCCGGTACCAAACATACCCATCTCTCCTCTCTCTCATCTCTCCTCTTTTAATATATATATATATAATATATATATTAATATATATTATACTATATATATATATATAATATATAGTATATATATTGAGATTAAGGATATCCCTTGTCATAGGAGGGATTTCCTCCTTGAGCCTCTAAAATCACATGACATTGACGATGCATATGGGATGATTCCGCTCGTTGAACTTGATACTACATATTTCTAAAACCGCCAACATACCAAATTTAGGGTGAATCCGTCGCGTCGTGACCGCTGCCATCGAGCCCATGTTGAAAAGTTCTATTCATTCAAACACGTTAAATTGACAACGAGTGATGAGGTCAAACGAGCGACTGGTTCCAACCCAAACTTGGTGTGTAGGATTTTAGAATATGTAGATCTAAGTTTCAACCGGAGCGGATCATTCACAATGTCGCATCAAGTCATGTGATTTAGAGCGTCAAGAGGAAATCCCCCTCTCTATGACAAGGATACATTAATCTCTCTCTCTCGTTCTCTCTCTCTCTCTCTCTCTCTCTATATATCATTATATTATATATTATATAATATATAATATATTATATATATATATATATATATCAAGATATATATTAGAGAGAGAGAGAATATGGGTATGCTTGCGTTACCAAGCACAAAATTTATGCTTGGTAGTGAGATGGCATATTATCGCTCCACATCATTCAATAGGGCACCACATTCACGCGCGAAAGTGCAAGCCTGGTGCTGAGTTCCGTTGTTATATAGCTGTATGGTTGATTGGTCGCCCAATTGAAATGAGTGGATGAGAAATGAGACACCTTCACTACCAATGACACAAAATTTGTGCTGGCTTGTAGCGCAAGTATACTCATTTTTTCTCAATATAAATATATATATAGTATATATATATGATATATATATACATATTATATATATATATATATATATATATTAGAGAAGAGAGAGAGAGAGAGAGAGAGAACTTTTCGTATGGCGAAATCTTTTCGCCCACAGCAAACAGTGCGAAATAGCAACCAATAATAATGCGTCGTCGGATGTGGCTTGAACGGCTGAGACATTCTAGCATCAAAATGAGCCACATCAACAAGGACATCTCGTGAACTTCATTTCAGCTTGCCCAGACTCTCCTCCCTCTCCCTCCACCAAGACTCTGCCTCCGACCCCAGAGCCAGGTCCCTCTCTTCCCGTCATCGAGCTCCGCCGACGCCTTATCGCCGTTAAGCCCAGAACCCAAACCCTCTCCCTCTGTTCCAAGCGTCGAGCAGCGCCGACGCCCTCTCGCCGTCGAGCCCAGAACCTAAACCCTCTCGCCGTCGAGCAGCGCCGACGCCCTCTCGCCGTCGAGCTCCGCAGAACCCAAACCCTCTTCCTTGAATCAGGTGCGCTTTTATCTTCTTGCTTGATTCTTGCTATTCTTGTTATTTTTTCCATCGTTTACTAAACAACTCCAAGAGGATTAGACCGAATTCAAAGTTTTCCAGCCTCAATTGGGCAAATGGACAATATGAAAAAAAAAACACGACCCTTTATGCTAATCAATAAACATAACAGCCACAATATCTGGAATGATGCAAGTCCCGGTTGAGTGTTGCCTATATCAGTCCCAAATTGACCTATCGAATTACCCCAAGTTGGTAATTTAGCCACAATATCTAGAATGATGCAAGTCACGGTATTTGTTTGTCAATTATGTAGATTATCGGCGTTAAACTAGTGCTTAGACTTTGAGATTCTTTCAAACTTTTACTCTCTGACATTTTTCTGTTGCATGAGATGCTTCACCATATAATAACTTTTTACAGGAAACACCCCATATAATAACTGTTTATAGGAAAGATATATCTTATACATGAAAGATATTTGTTTATGTTTGTGCACAGTAGTCTTTGATGGTTTGTTCTTGATGTTTGTTGTTTATGTTAATTTTTGTAGGTAAAAATTGTTCTTGATGTCTGATCCAATAGAAACTAAAGATGGTTTCTCCCATGTTGTTGATGAACAAATATCCCAGTTAGATAATTTAGTTGTGCCAATTGTTGATGAGCAGTTAAAGCCAAAAATAGGAATGACTTTCGACAGTTTAGAAGACGCTGAAAAATTCTACAGAAATTACGGAAAGGTCGGAGGTTTTGATATCCGTAATAGCACAACAAATTATGGGAATGATAGAGAGTTAATTTGCAAAAGTTATGTTTGTTCGAAAGAAGGAGTGTTAAAGAGCAAATCGTTGGAAATTCGACGATGTGGTACAATTAGAACAAATTTTAAGGCCTTGATTCGCTTGAAATTAGACAAAAACATTGGCATATGGAGTGTTTACAAGTTCGTGGAAGAACATAATCATACAATTACTTCACCGAGTAGAACACATTTTCTAAGGGGAAACCGTGAGGTCATAAGTGCGAAGAAGACATTAATAAAGCAGTTTGGAGAGGTGAATATTCCAACAAACAAGCAAATGGCCTTCTTTGAAAACTCTAGCGGAGGTTTTCATAGAATTGGATGCATTGAGACCGATGTGAGAAATTATGAAAGAGATTTGAGAGAGGAGAGGCACGGTCATGATGCACAAATGATGTTGGATCATTTTAAGTCGGAACAAGAGAAGAATCATTCATTTTATTATGTTTATGAAGTTGATGAAGAGAAGCGCTTAACTCATTGTTTTTGGGTGGATGACATTGCTCGAATGAATTATCAACACTTTAGCGATGTTGTCTCCTTCGATGACACACATAACACAAATCAATATGGCTTGGTATTTGTGCCATTTGTAGGCATAAATCACCATTGGCAAAGTGTTTTTTTAGGATGTGGCTTGATCCCAAACGAAGAGGCGAAATCTTTTGTATGGTTGTTTAACAAATGGATTGAAGCAATGAGTCATCCTCCTTCGGGCATGATTACAGATCAATGTCTTGGCATATGCAAGGCAATTGAAACAGTTTTTCCAGAAATTCGGCATAGGTTTTGCATTTGGCATATCTTGGACAAAGTTCCAGATAAGTTGGGTCAATGGGCTTATAGAACGGAATTTATGAAATCTTTCAAAGAAAATATTTGGAACTCCGACGATGCTAGCTCTTTTGAAGAGAATTGGGTTTCAATTATTAAGAAAAATGGATTGGAAAAGCACGATTGGCTAAATGATATCTATAAAATTCGTGAAAAATGGGCTCCCGTTTATCATAAACAATACTTATACATATATAAGAGTAGTATGTATATATATATATATTACATAGCTATGTTATATATATATATATATATATATATATATTATAATATATATATATATAATTATATCTATATAATATATATATATATATATATATATATTATAATATATATATATTATATATAGTATATATATATAATAATTATACATATATAAGAGAAAGTATATTTATACATATATATACTTATATAAGAGAGAGTATACTTATATATAATTATAATGACTAAGAGAGTTATATATATATATATATATATATATATTATATATATTATATATATATATATATATATATATATATATAATATATATATAATATATATTATATAATATATATAAGAGAAAAGTATATTTATACATATATATACTTATATAAGAGAGAGTATACTTATATATAATTATATACTAAGAGAGTTATATATATATATATATATATATACTATATATATGATCCATAATAGGTATTATATATATATATATATATATATTATATACATATTATATATATACATATATTACACAAATAAAAAAATAAAAAAGTTACTATTCGAGGCTCGGGCCGGGTTCCAGCCCGGTCGGGACCAGTCCGGCTTTTTAGACAGCCCTATCTCCATCTATGATGTTGGTAGTATAATTGGACCCACCTCTTAATAAAGAGATTTTTTTCTGTTAAAGAAATATTTATTCATTGCTGTCGAAAATTACTTCTCAGAAAATAAGTCTAAAAAACCCATTTGCATTGTCTGCATAAATATTATTTTTCTGTATTTAACGTTCCGGCTATATATATTGCAGCCTTATCTACTTGTGAACACTATAATAACCGTAAAATCGACTCGTCGTGTCATTGAATACCGAACAAATAACTAACAAAAATGTCATGTATAACTATTTGTCACATTGAAAGAGAAGCTACATGCAAGAGAATGACGTACGTTAAGTCTAACCTTCTCCTTCCACATATCATCCTATAATGTCCCACTCTTCACATATCTCACGACTCAGTGTACTAAATCTATGCAATCTTAATCTTCTACTTAGTTTAGTGCAATTAACCACTAAAAGTAGGTTATTGTTTTATTTTCAGAGAGATTTTCTTATAATCGATCCAATGTAACATGTTTACAAAAAATTAAAAAAGACAGCTATATTTTCACTTAAAATAACAATCATAAGTTAGATAAATGATAATCTGGTGATGTCATTAGTTTTTCGGTCTATGAACAATAGTATTTTGCCCTCAGTTATAAATAAATTAACGGTTTTGATTAGAAAGTGAGTTGTTCACTATAAAATCTTCAAACTTAATTAAGCGACATTTCACTCAGCTGGTTGCTAGCTATATTGCTTGAAGATATAATTAGGTAGTACTGGATTTTTCCAAGAAATATCTAATATTGGAATTGTCACAATTCCGCACCAATAATATGAACAAACTATCACGGAAGTTGATCCAAGTGATGCGCTTGGCTAGTATTATTCCTTTCCTTTTTTTTTTTGTTCTCTTCGTCCTATTACTCTCTTCTCAAAGAAATTAAGGAACTTGGATATACTTCTCCATTTTTAGAAAAAGAAAAGGACTCAACATTACAAATCATAGTCACGTTGATTCAAGACAACACATGCAGGTACAGTGACTCGGGAAAGTTTTTCCTTCAGCGGAAGACTCCCACGTTTGAAAGCAAAAACAATGAAGATAACTCCAACTGATATCAAAATTACTTAGTTCACTAAAATTTACGCCCAAACTTAAGTCAAGATAATGTTTTTACTTGGGTTTTTTTCCTAGAAATCACCTTAAAATTAGTGTAATTTTACTTTCATAGTTAATTTATACGTAAATCATCTTTAAAGTATTGTTCCAATCAAACACCTCTCAGTTAAAATATTCATTAACATCCAAAAAATACACTTAAAAACTCACATTCAAGATATGACTCATTTTGCTACAATTTAGATCTACTTATGATGCAAGTCAAGTACTTCAAACTTGGATTTTTAAAAATTAATTTTTATTTTTTCAATGAAGATTTGACTAGGTGGTGGTTGATTGGAACAAAAACATATTTTAAAGATAGTTTATATATAAATTAAAAATAAAAGGTGTTTTCTGTAAACTGACTATATTTTTAGGGAAAATTGTGTCAAGACCCCAAAAGCAAAATCTTCATGTGCTGCAGCCCCATTGACTTTTTCCCATGTGGTTCAACCCTTAAATTAGAGATCTATGTTCTGCATCCCACTTTTAGCAATTATTACATGTTAACTAAGCATAGACAGAGAATAAAAAGTAAAAACCCCCCAAAATATCTTTATCTCCTCTATTCTTTTATATTAAGTCTAAAAGCAAGTTGAAATAGACTTAACATGAAAGTCTATTTCATGTTAAGTCTAATTCGGTTCATGTTAAGTCTAATTTAATTCTTTTTAGTCTAATTTAAATCATGTTATGTCTAATTCAACTTGTTTCAAGTCTAATTTAATTCATATTAAGTCTAATTCAACTTGTTTTAAGTCTAATTTCATGTCAAATCCAATTTAATTCATATTAAGTCTAATTTAATTTCTTTTAAGTCTAATTTAAATCATGTTATGTCAAATTCAACTTATTTTAAGTCTAATTTATTTGGATTTAACATTAAATTAGACTTAAAAAGTTAAATTAGACTTAATATAATTTAAATTAGACTTAAAAGGAAGTTAGCATGATTGAAATTAGACCTAATATGAACTGAATTTAGACTTAATATAGACTTAAAAGGAAGTTAGCATGATTGAAATTAGACCTAATATGAACTGAATTTAGACTTAACATGAACTGAATTTAGACTTAACACAAATCAAGTTGAATTTAACATGAAATTAGACCTTTGTTATTAGACTTAACATGAACTAAATTTAGACTTAACATGAACTAAAATTAGACTTAACACGAATCAAGTTGGACTTAACATGAAATTAGACTTAACATGAACTGTTATTAGACTTAACATGAACTGAATTTAGACTTAACACGAATCAAGTTGGACTTAACATGAAATTAGACCTAACATGAACTGTAACATGAACTGAATTTAGACTTAACACGAATCAAGTTGGACTTAACATGAAATTAGACTTAACATGAATTGTTACTAGACTTAACATAAACTGAATTTAGACTCAACATGAACTGAAATTAAACTTAACACGAATCAAGTTAGACTTAACATGAAACTAAACCTAACATGAACTGTTATTAGACTTAACATGAACTGAATTTAGACTTATCATGAAACTAGACCTAACATGAACTGTTATTAGACTTAATATGAACTGAATTTAGACTTAACACGAATCAAGTTTGACTTAACATGAAATTAGACTTACCATGAATTGTTATTAAAATTAACATGAATTTGAATTTAGACTTAACATAAACTGAAATTAGACTTAACACGAATCAAGTTGGACTTAACATGATATTAGACTTAACATGAATTGTTACTAGACTTAACATAAACTGAATTTAGACTCAACATGAACTGAAATTAAACTTAACACGAATCAAGTTAGACTTAACATGAAACTAAACCTAACATGAACTGTTATTAGACTTAACATGAACTGAATTTAGACTTATCATGAAACTAGACCTAACATGAACTGTTTTTTTTTTTTTTTGGTGACGAGGGAACCCCGGTCAGTGCATCCACTTGAACTCCCTTTGGAGTCCGTCGTGCCCTGGTTCGAATCCCCCCAGACCCCCACGACTACAAGGAGCTACCTCTACGGTTGCTCGAGGGCTCATCCCCCACACGTGAGGGCAGCGGGCCCCATACGGCGGGGCGTGCAGTGATATGAACTGAATTTAGACTTAACACGAATCAAGTTTGACTTAACATGAAATTAGACTTACCATGAATTGTTATTAAACTTAACATGAATTTGAATTTAGACTTAACATGAACTGAAATTAGACTTAACACGAATCAAGTTGGACTTAACATGATATTAGACTTAAAAAAAATTAAATTAGATTTAACAACAATCAAATTGGCCTTAGCATGAAGTAAAATTGGATTTAACATGAAATTAGACTTAAAATAAGTTAAAATAGGCTTAACATGATTCATGTTAAGTCCAATTCATCTTATTTTTAGACTTAAAATATGTTGAATTAGACATAACATGATTTAATTAGACTTAAAAAGAATTAAATTAGACTTAATATGAATTAAATTGGACTTAACATGAAATTAGACTTAAAACAAGTTTAATTAGACTTAACATGAATTAAATTAGACTTAAAATGATTTAAATTAGACTTAAAATAATTTAAATTAGACTTAAAATAATTTAAACTCAACATAACACGAACCAAACTGGACTTAACACGAACCAAACTGGATTTAACACGAATCAAACTGGACTTAACATGAACTAAAATAAACTTAACATGTACTAAATTGGACTTAACACTAAATTGAATTAAAATTAGATTTATTCGGTTCATTTTAAGTCTAATTTCATGTTAAGTTCAATTAAATTAGACTTAAAACAAGTTGAATTAGACATAATATGATTTAAATAAGACTTAAAAGGAATTAAATTATACTTAATATGAATTAAATTAGACTTAACATGAAATTAGACTTAAAACAAGTTGAATTAGACTTAACATGAATTAAATTAGACTTGAAATAAGTTGAATTAGACATAACATGATTTAAATTAGATTTAGAAGGAATAAAATTAGACTTAACATGAACTGAATTAGACTTAATATGAAATAGACTTTCATGTTAAGTCTAATTCGGTTCAGATTAAGTCTAATTCGGTTCGTGTTAAGTCTAATTTAATTCGGTTCATGTTAAGTCTAATTCAACTTGCTTTTAGACTTAACATGAAAGAATAGAGGAGATAAAGACATTTTGGGGTTTTTTATTTTTTATTCTCTGTCTATG